AATCTCTAAAATAGAGATAATAGAAAATAGAGCTCTATTATATTGTTATTTTTTAATTATTTTATTAATTTAGTTTTATTTATTATTAATTTAAAAGCTATTATTTGTGTGTGTGTGTGTGTGTCTTTGCTCAGTCCCATAAACCATTTTGTGCAGTTCACCTTTTTTCATCAGACCACAGGGGAGACAGGTGTTACTCTTTCCCCAGAAAGAGGCGATGATTCACCTGCTTCCACATTATGACATAAGGCATCGTGCACACAAAACATACCCCGAGACCAAATCTCTGTTTCGAGGTTGCTTTTGTGTCTTATGTTGTTTTTGCTGCATTGAAATGTCCATTCTAGCTTGGAGACAACTGAACGTCATCTAGCCTCACTGCTGTAGCCTGATTTAGTAAATGCCTTGGAACATTTATTGAGACAGCGTTTGAATGCCGCCCACTCAAATACTCTCTCCCTCCAACACCACCGCTCCTCTGCTTCTCTGCTGCCAGATCTCTCGCCATTTCTCACCAGACTCCTCAGCTCCGTTCCTTCAGAAATGACCATCTTCTTTATCAGAAACGCAGCATCCATCCTCCACTAATAACACCATCCTCACCACCATCATCCTCACCACCATCATCCTCATCATCATCTCGATGTAATATTTTGTGTCTTTCTCTCTCTGTGTTCACTTCAGGGCTCCCTATGGGAAGGCAGTGGACATGTGGTCGGTGGGGTGTATCCTCGGGGAGCTGAGTGACGGACAGCCCTTGTTTCCAGGGGAAAGTGAAATAGATCAGGTCTGTGATGAAATGAGTTGTTCATCAGGCACTTAGTTTTTCGACAGAAAATTGATCAACGATTAATCGTTATGAAAGTATACTACGCAGGATTTTCCTAAATTACAATATAGGGACTCATACAGAAGTAATCCCTCTCAGTCATCACTCATGACCCACTGTGGCTGTGTATTTATTTTATTTATTTATTTTTTTTTTTTTTGTAGAGACCGTTTTTTCATATTTTCTTATTTTCAGTGTTTATTACGTTAATGGTCGTGTGCCTCCACAGCAGGTGAGGTAGCGCCTTATAGAAAGGTAGCGACAGGTGCCAGACCGTAAGCAGCAGGCATCCAAGAGACACAGTGCCAAAAAGACGCAAATATAGCGAGGCAAAACGCCAAACAAGAGTGAATCTGGGGTTGGCTTTTACGCTCTCTTTCACTGGCGAGTGTGTATACAGACACTAACCGACAATCCTGCATAGTATACCTTTAGGTTATTTGTAAAATAAGAAATTGTATGTGTACATTCTAACTTCTCCGCTGTGAGGATTTGCAGCTTTTCTTTATCTCATATCTAAAAAATAAAATAAATGTTTCCTCTGTACCTGACGAAGAGTCACTGTGGACCTGAAATATTTTTTCTAAGGTAATAAAATAGCTCTTTTAAGGGAGTGTTTAACACTGTTGATAGACGAAAGTCACACTCACAGGTTTTTGGAAATAACACCTGGAGGAGACAGATGTGCATTTCTTTTGTACAGTGATTGTTTGGATTAGACAAAATAAGCAATTGGAAGAGGACACGGTGAGCGCTTGGAGCTGGCCATCAGCATTTGTACTTATTCTCTGATATTTTAGAGACTAAACAAGCCCAGTCAATTTTTACTATGAACAGCCAAAAATCTTAAGTTTGTCACAGAGGCCTTAAGGGGACAGTTGACCCCAAAAGTGTTGGCGATATCAGCTGTAGAGATGTCTGCCTTCTCTCCAATATAATGGAACTAAATGGCACTCAAGAAAAAAGAAAAAAAACTCAACAGCAATGTCTCTTTCCAGAAATCATGACCCAGTTACTCAAGATGATCCACAGACCTTGTTGTGAGCAGTTTCACGTAGGAACTATTTTCTCTATACTGAACTACACCCGCCAACTGTACCTCTGTGCAGAAGAAAACAATACATCATCATCAACATCTACTGTTAGCTCACCTGGCACTACTGAGTTAGGTACGGCTCAGCCAAGGAGGACATTATAGATGCTTACAGCTGATGCTGTCATGAGCATGAAGCCTCCTGTCCATGAGTAGATGCACGCTTCCTTCTGCGTGGTGATACGGTTGATGGGTGGAGTTCAGTAGGAAAAGTAGTTCCTACATGAAAGTGCTGACAACAAGGTCTGTGGATTATCTTGAGAAACCAGGTCATGATTTCTAGAAAGAGACATTGCTGTTGAGTTTTTCTAATGTTTCCTTTTTGGCACTTTGGCACCACAAGCCTTGTGCCATCTAGTTCTATTATATTGGAGAGAGTGCAGACATCTCTACAGCCGATATCTCCAACACTCTAGACCGATAACCAGCACTACAGGCAAGAGGAAATATATGTATTTTTTATTTTTGGGGTGAACTGTCCTTTCAAAATCTGTACAATATGGCAAACTGCCTACCTGTAGGCCTTCAAAAAATAACTTACTTGCTGAAAGTCAGTTTTATAAGGTGATATGTCTGTGCTTTAATTACAGCTTGTTGTGCAAAAAAATCAGTGCAGGTTTGGTCGACATTTTAACATGCAACCCATAAAGGATCATGTAATCTCCTAAATGCAATTAAAACATAAAAAAGTCAATAGAATTACAGTTAACCCGAAATTTTAAACAATGACAACAGCGACATCCAAATAGTCAACATTAATTTTGTCCGTTTAGTACCTGTTTGATCATGTTAGTTAATTTTCTTCCCTTATATCAGACAGAATTGTCAACTTGTTTCCTGTAGTTTGACATCACGTCCACCATAACCAATTTCCGTGGGGACGGGGGATTTGATTTTCCCTAACCAATCACTAGAGACCAACATGTCCCCCTGAATCTAATGTCATTTTAAGTCCACACTGATGTGTAGACATGCCACTATGATGTTGGGCAATACTGAGAAAACATGTAGATGTAGAACAGCCTTGAGAGAAGCGTCTATCTTGTCTTACTAGAGATGCACTGATCCAGCTTTTTCAGTTTCAATACTGATCCCGATGCTGTGGCTTTGAGTATCAGCTGATACCCGATACTGATCCGATACCATGGTTGACCTAAAAAGCTATATACCTTTACATGTAGAACAGAAAGACTAGAGGCATCAGGCATTGATGACTACACAGTTCTTACCTAAGATATAATGGAACAAGATGAAACAGATCAATGCAATGATGAACTATTTATTTTTAACAAAAATAAACAATTGTGCAACAGCAGTTGAAATAGTGTGAAATACCTCCACACAGCAGATTCTCTCCTTCACTCCATGACGTATGACGTAGCACGCGTAGCAATAGATTTAAACGGAAAGGATCGCCTCAGGTATAGATTACATTTTCAGATACCCGATTCATCTCTTTTGATGATATTCGATCCAGATATCGGATCTGTGCATCCCTAGTTATTACTCCTTATCTTTTCCTGTGCACCGCTTGACAACAGCTTGGCAGCAGTGTTAATCCCACCCATGGCACTGATTTGCTTATCATGACCGCCCACTGCAGTCAGTGGTCGTTTTATGTTTTAACCGAGAAACCGCTGTTTGATGTCACGATGCCAGACGAATCAGTCAACCTGAAATCAATAAAGTGGGCCGATTCAAAGGTCTGGACCAAGGCGAAGGATCTTTATTGGCAGATAGAGTTTGCTCAGTTTCCATGGAAATGTACTTTAGATGTTCAGGTTTCCTTTTTTGAGCTCTTGAAGGACTGGCTCAAAAGTTGAAAGAAAGATTGAAACTTCATTGTTGACCTTGGAAACAGAACTGTGTGACATGGAGTCTTGTTGGTGAACGAATGAAGTCTGCTGTCGCATTACTAACTGTTCTTCATTTTATTTTCCTCCAGCTCTTCACCATTCAGAAGGTGTTGGGGCCACTTCCTGCAGAGCAGATGAAACTCTTCTACAACAACCCTCGCTTTCATGGAATCAGGGTAGGAAACGTTTCTCTTTCATCCTTTCTGTCGTCGTCTTCGCTTCTTCTTCTTCTTCTCTCTCCTCCTCTTCCTCCCCCTCTCTGTTTTTACCTCCTTCCCTTCTCTCTCCAACTCTGTCTCCTTCTCTCTCTCTCTCTCTCTCTTGTGGCAGTGTTCCCAGCACCATGACTGAGTGGATTGCTATGACTCATGAGATAGGTGGTTGGTGTTCAGTTTAGCAGCAAGAGAAAATGTCCCAGAAGGCCGAACAAGACTTTGTGTGTATATGTGTTTGTGATTTTGTAGTTTGTTTAGTGTGATCCAGTGAAAGATTTCTGTGTGATTTGAACTGAGAGCTACATTTTTTTTTGGCAGGAACATCTACTGTATGTTGAAGATCGTAATAGTAATTTTAAATGCAGAGAAAAGTTCAGTCTCGATTCGAGTTTGATCCTGTGTATGTGTGTGTGTTCCTGTGTGTGTGTGCCAGTTTCCCTCAGTTACTCATCCTCAGACTTTGGAGAGAAGGTACCAAGGCATCTTGAGTGGTTTGATGTTGGATCTGATGAAGGTAAAAGTACTCAAACTCTAAATTAACATTATGGAAATGATATCCGCATGATGTGTTATCCATCTTTGACAATAATTAACATTTGAAGCAATAAACGTGCACGTCTCTTCCGATCAGAACCTGTTGCTGCTAAACCCAACTGAGCGCTACCTGACGGAGCAGAGTTTGAATCATCCGGCCTTCCAGCCTTTGAGGCAGGCAGAGAGAGAGCGGCCATCTCCTGCGTCTCCCAACCCGCCGCGCTCCTCCAAGAGGAAAACACACCATCATGGAGAGAACACAGTTCCCACAAGGTCAGACTCCTCTACTTCCTGTTACAGTTTCTACCTGCAGTCATCTTACAGAGACCTTTTTTAAATTTCGCCTAGTAAACATTGGGGCTGGTTGATGTGGATGGTTTAGCAAACATTTTTACCAATGGACAAATCTCCATCATGTCACAGTATGTCATCATTATCACCTAACCCAAGCTGGGAACTAATCACCAAGGGCATCCACAGAGAGCTGTAGATCTGAGAGGAAAGTCAGACTAAGTGAAAAAGTCTGTCTTATGAAGCTCGCTAGAAAACACAGACTTTGCAAATGTGTTTCTTATGACTAGTGTTGTGCAAGTTTCTGAAAATTTGTTACAGTTTCAAGTTACTTCTCTGAAAAATAAGTGAATAACTTTGCCAAATACTGCATATAAAATAAATTAGTTACAAAAGAAAGTAACGTTTGCATTACTTTAAAATATCTGCTTCAATTTTCTTTTTAAGACACAAACTATTTTAGTGTTACTGTTGCTCAGTGTGGGACAAGAGACAACTGTCTGATATAACTTATGATTATACCCATTATCACTGTGATGAAAAGTAAGTAGTGGAACAATAAAACACAAGAGATAGGTTTTGATAGGCCTATTCATTGGAGCCTGGACAGGTGTTACCAGCTTACCATCTAAAAACCGTATTTGGGAACACGCTGGCTTATTAACATTCATTTAGCTTGGCTCCTTATTAGCTGGTAACTAGCTTCTAGCGGTCCAGACCACTCTGCAGACAGAAGGATGGCGAGAGACAATGGCTTTATTGCAGTCTTCACCACAAAACAGTAAGCATGGCCTTCTCATGAAGTTGAACAGCAGCCCTGAGCTCATCTAGACACCTAATTCTACTGCTATCATCACTACTTGCTGCATACGTCTTTACCACGACACCTCCAGAGAGCTGTTTCCCTCAATACACGCAAAGTACATGTCACACCCTCATAAATAATGTAAAGTTAATTATAACTGACAAAGTCATTGTGTGCAATAGTCCACCTTCCACCACCTCCCTCGCTCTGTCAATCTCAAACACACACACACACACACAAGATTGGGTAGTGGAATTACAGTAATGCATAAATTTGTAAAGTGTTACTCCCAACACTGCTTTGTGACTCCTCCTACTAAACTGACTACGTATGTACATGTATTAATAACAATAATAATAATAAACTTTATTTATATAGCACCTTTCATACATGAAATACAGCACAAAGTGCTTTACAATATTGTATTGTAAGCACTGAGTGCTCCATATGACATCAGACAAAATGAACATAAAACAGAACAAAAGATTCAAAAAATCATTGAGTTGTAAAACTAAGATTTTAAAAGTAAGATTTTAAAACAGATGCAGCAGCATGAGGCGTAAATAGAAAGTAAAAGCGTAAAAAGAAAGAGTTTCAGACCTGCATCAGGAAATCCGAGCTAGTTAAAGGCTAAAGTGAACAGATGTATTTTTAGCTTCCCTGATATCTATAGGTAGTGTGTTCCATAGCTTTGGCGTGTAACTGAAAAAGGCTGCATCCCTGATCTTCTTCAATCTGTTGCTGGGAACCTCCAATAAACCAGCAGCAGATGATCGCAGTGTTCTTGGAGGCAAATAGATAACAGGGGAGTTAGCAATGTAGCTCAGTCCCAGCCCATGTAGGGCTTTGTTTACAAGGAGGAGGAGCTTAAAATAAAGTCTAAATGTAACAGGAAGTCAGTGCAGAGCAGCTCAGACTGGCCTGATGTGCTTTCTCCTCTTGGTTCTGGTTAATAGCCGAGCTGCAGAGTTTTGAACGAGCTGAAGTCTCTCAGTGGTGTTTCTTGAGAGGCCAGTAAAAAGTGTATTACAGTAGTCGAGTCAGCTTTAAATAAAGGCATGAATCAATCTCTCTGCATCTTTTTCATTTAGAAATGGTCATACCTTGGGGATGTTTCTGACATGGAAATATTGTGTTCTCATCACCTTGTTAATGTGACACTTGAAGCTTAGATCTGAATCAAGGATCACGCCAAGACTTAGACTCCTTAATCCAGGAAGTTAAATTCCCCAGATTATTAAGTAGCGCTTCTCTCTTTGTTTTATCCATGCACGAGGGAACACATTTTTTGTGGGGAACTATGTGTCTCACAACGACTCACTTCTCTTTAAAAAATAAATTTCTTAATTACACTTATAAAGAGTTCAACCTTTGGAGCTCCAGATTGTCTCTTCACCAGGTACAGAAACATCATCATCATAATCCTCTTGATTCGTGCATCACAAGTTTACAGGACTTTTGTAAAAAAAACTATTAAGTGGCGCTTGATTAAAAAAATAGGGGTTCACAGTTTTATATTATGACTTTTTTTCGTAAACCATTTTTTTTGTGAATAAATCAAAGCATTTTGATGTAATGGCTGCGATCACTGATCTTGACACAAGCTGTTTCCTGAGACAAGGTGTCTCATCCAAGGATAGATCTGTGCCAGTTTAAGAGCTTTTTAAGAGAATGGAAGTAGGATTGTAAGAATAAGAGCTGAGGGAATGCAAAATTTACAAAGATTAGGACTTTAAGATATAAAGTAAGTGTTATCTGTCCCTCCAGGAGTCACACTAAGAGCACGAGCCGTCGCTCCAACAGTAAAGAATGTTCCAGCCTCCCTCGCCATGGTGACCTCCATCACCTCAGCAACAAGAGTTTCCTCAATGGTAACAAACCGGCCCCGTCCAGTTTAAGTCCAACGCTCCACCCCAAGGGTCAGTACATGTCCCAGACCCTAAATCGTTCTGCCTCGTCCAACAAAGACCTGGCTAACAACAACTTGCCGCACCTCCTCAGTCCCAAAGAAGCCAAAGGTAAGACAGAGTTTGATTTCAGCTTGGGACCTTCTCCAAAGCTGTCTGACCAAGGACACGGGGCGAAGTACGGCCACAGCAAACCCAGCTCCTCCCGCTCTCAGCAGCAGCAGCAGCAGCAGCAGCAGCAGCAGCAGCAGCAGCAACAGGCCGGCCGCCACACCTTCCTGGAAGGCAAGACTAACACACTGCAGTCTGGAGCAGAGAAACAACACAGCCGACACACCCACAGCATGGCGGACTCTGCTCACGGATCCATGTCCTCCTCCTCTAAGAGTTCAGCCTCTTATCTCAGCCTGTCCAAGAGCCACAGTGCGCTGAGTGATGCCAAATCTGTTGGGAACCTCAGCGATGGTCGACTCCACCCAGATGACCCGAATGCAAACACGACAACAGGGGTCGGACCTGGGGCCCGATTCTTCCCTACCAGCTGTTTAGACCTCAATGCCCCTTCAGTTCCCCAGGGGCCCCCTGGCAGCCCCTCTACTCGACACAGCGATCGATCTGGGCACAGCCCTGCTTCTCGTAGCAGCGGCAATGTCCGCATGGAGAGCAGCACCCTGGACTCCTCATCCAGACACAAATCCAGACATAAAGCTCTGGCACCAGGTAGGTTTCAGAGTCAAAATTATTTTAGACTTCATGTCCACTGAATTATGGCTTTGAGCTTCAACTATCCTTTTTTTAAATATTATTCAAGGTCTTGAAAGGTATTTATATCCAGTGCAACACTCTCAGAACCCACTGGCTTTGTCTGATGACAGCCTTTTTTATGTATCTGCATCCATATGCAGGTATCTATGTATAGCTTAGCGGAAATGACCAACACACGGAAGCACTTGGCTCAGATATCTGCTAGCTACACTGGTTCAGCCTGAAATATTGACCCTCACTCCCAGAAGCTTGTCATTGTCAGACTGATAACCGATGGGTTCAGAGATTGTTGCAACAAAAGATCACATCCATCCTAAGAAAACAAAAAAAGAAAAATTACAAAACCAGACAGCCAGACAGGAGGCAAATTATTATCATGTCACCTCTGACATTCACAGAATAAAGTAAGATGCTGCCGGGCCCGTGTGTTAAATCCAGACCTCGTGAAAAGGTCATCAATTCTGTCATGGCAAATTTTCTTTAACTAGTTTAAAAGCAGATGGACAAATGCGTTTCCAGTGTCTCAAGATAAGTCTTTTGGCTAGGAACAATCGCAAAACATCAAAGTTTGTATGCAGTGTATTTTATTTTTAATTTATCTTATTGTATTTAGTTGTAATTTTTTATTCTTATTTATCACTTAATAACTTTTTACTTTTCCTCTTGCTTCTGGCTCTTAAGCTGCTGTAACATGTTGATTTAAAATAATTAACATTAAATTAACAATAAAGTCTTAGCTTATCTTTTCTTTTCTTTCTTTTCAGTTAATAGTCCAGTTACTAGTTCACAATCTACCAGTAAATCTTATTGTCATAAATACAAAAATAACCATGAAAAATGTCTTGACCATTATGACCAGTTCCCAATATATTATCTGTTAATTATTAGTAGTGCTGAAATTATTAGTTGGTTAATCAATGAGATAATATACATATAAATATTGACAACAATTTTGATCATTAATTAGTTCACATGTTTCAGGGGGTTTTTTTGTCTCTGTAAATTAAGTATTTATAATTTTTGACGTTTGGTTAAAAAAGATGTTTGAAGATGTCACAGGGGTCAGGGGCATTTGCCACACAGTTTTTAGATTGAATGATTGATCAAACAACATAATCAATAAAAAGTTGTAATATTTTTTTTAATTTTCGCTCTTTTTCAGAGGAGGCCGGTGCTCCAGAGCTCTTAGACCCGGGAGGAGCAGGGATGCCCTCCACTCACACTCTGCCTTCCCCTCATGAGTCGTATCATTACGGCCTGGGCTATACCTCTCCCTTCTCCTCTCAACAACGGCCTCAACGCCACTCCATGTACGTGAGGAGGGAGCGCCACCGACCACACGGGATTGAGGGAGGGATGGCGGGCTTGCCTCCGCCGGGGCAGACGATACCGACACGTGCCAGTAGCCTGCAGCTCCTCTCCCCCCAGCTGCAGCACCGGACCACCCTCACTGGACACTCAGTGAGCTCTTCGAGAGAGGACTGCACTGATGACATGACGAGGGTTAGTGGCAGACAGTCCTGTGAGTGTGGCGGCAGTTAAAGGAAGCATTCACCCTAAAGTACTGACACTGTATAAAGAGTGTGTCAGGATATTTTTTATTTTCAAGGGTAAAAGTCCAGCATTGGACCAAAATAGTCATTTTCCTTAAAAAGAAAAATCACCAGCTTAATTTAGGCAGCCATTCAGGATAAATATACACACAGTGCAGGATCCTTTTTGTCTTTTGTTTTGAGAGTAATAAATGAGCACTTAAAAAAGCACATTATGTCTGACATTGGAAACTCTGGGGTCTGACGTCTTGGGAATGATTATGATAGTTATTGGACTAAATATCTCTTTTTAAAACTGTTTTTAGGCAGAAAACATTCAAACAGAAATTAAATTAAAGGGATTTAGTATTAAATCAACCAGAATTGCATATCTGCTGTGACAGAGAGGTGTTTAATGTTGTGGCAATTCAACTTAGGACCCAAAATGCAAATGGTTGAAGGCTGTTTATTGTAGTTTGAAGAAGAGGAGCTGAAGGCTTGAATGAAATGATGGCTGAGGTGGGCAGGGAGTGGCGAAGCAGAGCAGGCAGATTAGCTAAAGGCAAAGCAGTCTAAATCCAGAGGCAGAAGACAAGTACAAGGCTGGACATGGCGGGATATGGTTGAGGCTGGCGCGGTGAAACTGAGACACAGAACAAAGTGTGAATTGATGTCCAAAAGTACAAAAAAACAAGTGTCAAAAAACTAGAAGTCAGTGTTGATGTCTGTACCGCAGAGGTGACTGAACGATCTGGTTAAGTCTGGATGTCTGAGCTGGGGTTTTATACAGTGGCTTGATTGTAGATTTGAGTCAGGTGTGCAACAGTCAGGAGGAGGAAACCAGAAGAAGAAACACAGAGACAGACTGAAAACAAACATGAGACACTAGGAAGGAGAGACATGGAGAGGCAAAGCTGAAGCCCTAACATTTAAACAACACTGACACCTAAATGTATAGAAAATAAAAAATAAAAGTCTTTTTATTATTTAATATTATTTATCTATTTATTTTAAAAATAGGGGGTGATAGCTGCCAGGGTCCGGACCTGTAACTCCACTGCGTTCACTGAAAACAGACAGTTCTGTCTTGAATCAGCCAAGGGTTGTTGCTGAGTTGATAAAAACAGGTCACTCTTTTATCGCCAAATTATTCTAATATAAAACAAAACAAAACAATTACACATTTATTTGGATAACTGGTCAGTCTTAATTCTCTTGGACTGGCAGTGTTTGGACTCATGACCTCATTATTTTTGAAATCCTGGCTACAAACTCCATGTTGCTTTCTTTTTAGGCATCTAACACCCTGAGAGCTGTTACTGCAACATCTGTGGTCTGGTGAACTCACAGTGTGATTGTCCATAGTTTCGAAAGAAATTCAGTAATAAAAGATGTGTTTAAATGCACATGCGGCTGTTACAGCTAATGCTTCGTTTACCTAGTACAAGAATGAGTAATTATTAGGTTTCTTATTTTCAATTTTTAATTATTGTTTTTTTCAAATAGTTGACTTTATAAATTGGTTAAGTTGCCCCTGCACAATAAAAAACAAAGACATGACACATGAAAGACAAACTACTACAAGATAACCGAACAAAATTAAAAAGGAAAGCTATATGAATATAACTGACTGATGTATAATGGATCTAAATGAAGCAAGAGTTTCATGCCCCGTATGGGGGTGACAGAGACATTACATCACCTGAGCCCTCATCTTCCCCAAGTCCTAAGCAGCCACAAGAACAACCAAAATAACTCTACCTTGATCAACTAAATCTAACCTGAAGAAGTAAAACAAACCAAAATACATTCACTGATCTCCCAACCAAATAAAACAGGATAAAACAAATACTGACAGCCCATCCCTTCCACCTCTACCATAACAAACTAGGTTACAATCAATCCATAGCGGTGCACATGTGCTCCAGTGGCTGGTTGGAAGAAAAGGAAGAGCTTATCCCTCTGCCTCCAGCTGCTGTCATCTTGGCTCCTTATATACTGTCCCCCAACCAATTATTTTTGGCAACCCGTTTCTGGTTCCACCAATGAGCACCTTGTACCACAGCACACCTATTTGCATATCCAAGCACACACACTGACACCTGGCACACCAGACACGCACACACTTACAAGTAGAAAACAGCAGCTGCATCATAAATACAACCACAGCCATGAATATACAGATGACAGTGTGGCCAGCATGAGGCGGCACCAATTATTGCTCATTCCCACTATTACCTGACAATTTTACTCAGTATCTCCACCAACATTACAGTTGTCTCAAGAGCCCATAATGCAATGCTGCCACGAGATGTTGACTTTTTTAGGAAGTATTGGAAAACCTGTTATTGCTCCACCATCACTGAAGCTCTCTTAGTTTTACAGTTTGATCAGAGTTTGAGTTTGAGAAAAAGAGAGGGGCATCTCTCTCTCATTTTCTGCTTCTATACTCTTGCTGTTTCATAGTCGATGCACGCAACACGAGCAAGCGACGCAAGCATTGCACTTCCTTTCCTCATCAACACATTGAGTGCATTGAGTGCGCGAGCGACGTATTGCAGCAGAGTCACTGGTACATTTCAGCTAGCTAGTACTGCTATTTTAGTGCAGGGCACTAGAACTGTCATATAAATGGGGATGTGCCCATACAAGTTCGCAAAGTTTTTCCTCCTCACCCGCCATATTTCATACCTGCGTCTTCTGTGAATAACAAAAAGTGGTTAATTTCAAGTATGTCACTTGTGTTATCACCTCTGCTGGCAACGCATGGTATTACACGCGTTGTTGCGTCGCGTATCAAAAAAATGGACAACACATTTTGAGACGCAAGCAAGTAGTACGTCTTTTTTACGTACTACTTTACGTACTACTTTGAGACGCAGTACGTCTCAATGCGTTCGTGTCTGCATGCCTTTGCATCAACTATGAAATGGCCCTTTGTGTCCATTTTGGCACGCAAACAAAAATAAAAAAAGGACTTTTATTTTGACAAAATTAAAGACATTTACGCCATTTAAATTGCTGCAGAGAAGGCTCAAATTTGTGCATTAAAAAATCATCAGAATACAGAACATTATGATGTTAAAATTTTCTGACTGTTGACGTACAAAGTGATTTTGCCAAGTAGCACGTGTTCCTGGATCAACATCCCACCTTGTGTTCCTGGACCAACATTGCGATCAGCCAATCACAGCCCTCTGACATCATCCTTGGGCTTTTCTTGTGCTTCTTTAAAAATTCCTTTGTGCTTCATCTGAGCTAGTTTTCCAAAGTGAAGTTAGCATAATTGAAAAAAAATCCTCAGTATCACTGACAAAACACCTGTGAGCCGCTGTAGTGTTAGTGAGTTAGCTTGCTAAGTAGGTAGGCTGTGAAAATGTGTTAATAGCAGGTATTTGCAACTGAAAATAACATTATCCTTAATCTTTTTTTAGTTAACAATAATCAAGTCTATTGGCAAGCTTACTTGTTAGCATAGCCTCCCTAGCTAGCAAGCTTGATCCCAAACAGCTAGCGGCTGTTGACCCCAGAACCCAATGTTCATATGAGTCTCCCCCAATATTAAAATAAAAATCTACACCCTGATGTGAATTTCATCTAGTGGATTTGAGCTTGGAGATGAGCAGTAATATTTGGGTACTGTTAATATGGAAGGAAATTTACCACACTTAATTTACACATAGGCTACTACCCACATTGTTGTACAAATATAAAAAGCTGGTTGAAAATTGGCAAAGCATGCCTTTAAAAGTGAATATGGGAAATGTTGGAAGCTACTGAAGCAGGAGAAAAATGGCTACGCTAAAAAAATACCACATTTCCTGACATGCATTCAAGCAACACATTTAAGATATCAAACATAAGAGTGTTTAAGGGTGAATCTTTTCTTTATCAGACGTATTGAAAATATGTGTGTACTTCCCTAGTTGATGCCTGTGTGCAGGGACTGTCACTGTCTCACATTATCATTACCCCTGCTTCATGCTGCTTTCCAGTCTGCTTTGACCTGCACCTGTCCATCTTCTCAACAGAGTGAGCAGTCCCCTAAAGACATGAGCCACCCTTGTGCCCCCATCAAAGACTCTACGAGGGACAACACTGCTGCTTTTCATACACAGCGCTCTAAAAACGAGGTCCGACTCCCCTGACTCCTCCCTGCCTCCCACCACTTCACCGAACACAGACAGTAGCTCTTCTGACTGCTGGTTTCCATAGCTTTATCTATTCCTACTCAGGTCAACAGCTTCACTGCTCGTTGTCGCTGGTATAAATGTAACCTCACTGAAAAGCTTTAAGATTGTCCCGGTTGTCTTGTGATGTGAGCCAGCGGAGAATGTGATAGCTAAAAATAAGAAATGACGTGAGATTAAATGAGAGGAATCACAAATATGAAAATACTGAGGAACTTTGTGTGTTCTTGTGTCCATGTGTGTATTTGTGCATTTGTGTGTCTGTCCGATGTGTGTGTTTCATAGGTCGGCATGTATCACGACCCTCATGCTGAGGATGGAAGTTCCTCCAAGGAGAACCGGATGATCTTCACTGAGTCCATGCCTCGGAGAGTCGGCAGCTTCTACCGAGGTAAAGAGCAGATATCAGCGATTCTCAAACTGTTTTTTTTTTTTTTTTAACAATTAGACGAGAAAAAAATCCACAGTTAAAAGATGCAAAGATATCAACTTGGACTTAAATAGATAACACATGGTGGATTTTGGGGAATGTGAGTGTAGCAAATAAAAAAAAGAGATTTACACTTATAATAATTTTCTCTCCTCTGTGTCTCCTCAGTCCCCTCCCCCAGACCAGACAACTCCACCTCTTTCCATGACGGTGTCGGCCAGGGTCGAGGGCCAGTCGGACCCGTTGTACCCGGAGACCCTGTTGCCATGGTCAACCACTCCAAACGCCAGACGGCTTTTGACTGGTAAGAAATTATTTTTTAAACTGGCATGGCCTTTTTCTTTACCGTGACTTTAGGCAGCACTACGATATAGTAGATGTTAGAAAAATGGGTCAAGGAAACTGACTTGAAGGTCCCAGTGTGTAGGTTTTAGGGGAAAATACTGGCAGAAATGGAGTATGGTTGCAACAGTATGAGATTCTTGCTGTATGATAACTGTCTCAGAAGATATTGCGGTTGCACAGTGCCACGGTATTACAGAATTTATGTTTCAATCAGGGAATTTTTATAGTAAAAAGAATATTTATTAACGTGCACATAAGAATGAAAAATGTGAAAAGTCTTTGCAGATTAGACCCCATCAAGGTGGTATGATTTAAGGAGGGGGATTCATCCAAAGTTGAATAGGGAACCCCCCTGGGGTCTAGATGCTAGTGGAGGCAGAGGTGGTGAAGATAAGATGAGAAGAAGATGTGGAGAAGATGGAGAAGTGCTGATGATCTGGATGAGTAGAGGAATGAGCCTTTGTTGAGCTCGTCTTGGACTCTGGATATGATGGCTGGAGGTGAACGGGGTGGAGGACGGAGCAACAGTTCTGCCTAAAATGACAGCTGACAGGAGCAGAGAAGAGCAGATTTAAAATTTTGCAGTAGCATCCTGATTAGCTGATAGAGATTGTGGCACAGTTTGATTGGATGACTAGACGAGTGAACACCCATAGTCAGCTCATTAGACGAAGCAGTGGGAGTTGGAGGGAGAATTGTAAATGGTTATCACATAAAGAAAGTCTTCTTAACTTGAAAAAGGAACAGTTATTTTTGGTTGAACAAACATTTTATCACTATAATTGAAACTTTTGCTAATGAAAATATGTGTAAAAAGTCTCCCCTTTCAAAATAAAACAAAAGCAAATGCACATAACTGTCAGAAAGGGCTGTCTCACACATGGGTGCAGATCCCAGGGGGGATGGGGGGGACATGTCCCCCCCAAATTCTGAAAAACACAAATTGTCCCCCCCAATTCTAAATAGCCTAAATGATTGAAATTGAACAAATGTATACAGTAGTCCTATATACTTGGAGAAAGGGAAGATGATGAGGAGAAATGGGAATCCGTGAGAGGCGAGAGATGAGAATGTGAGTGGACATAACATGCCTGAGACCCTGAAACTAGAAGTAGCATTAACTAACAGCGAAGCAGTGAAAAGGAGAGTGATGGCTGGCTCCATGTACTGTTGGCTGTTTAAGAGAAATAAACAGTAAAGGTAAGCCTATGATTCTCTGTGTAGTGCTTTTTGAATGACTTGGTTATGGTGATGAGCCTCTATGAAATCGTGAAATATGCTGGCAATCTCAAGCGCTCTGTGGGCATGATTTGCACGTGTGCAATTAAAAAAAATCACGACTGATTGTGTCCCCCCCAAACTTGTCATCAGATCTGCACCTATGGTCTCACGGCAAGGTAAAGTGGTGAAAATATTCTAAACACAGCACAAACTGAAACTGATATTGATCTTTTTAGGGGAGCTTTTTTGAGGTGGCAATAAGCAGCTTTAAAGTTTATGTACATGATGTGACTGTAAACAAACATTGTGATTTGGTGTTTAGTTTCAAACTTTTCCACCATTTCCCAGCAAAGATGATTTTCTTTACTGTTAAACTTTTAAAATACAAAAATACAACATGCTTAGACATTTAATGACTGAGTGAAATGAGTGTTTCTGAAACTGCCTCACATATTTTCCTCACTGTCACATGAAAGTCTGTCACAACACAAATTAAGATCCATTACATTTTACAAGGTTACTATCACAGTCTCTAAAAGACTGAGATGAAATGGATGAAAACATGTCGTCAAGAACAGTATGTGACACTGGCATTTAATTGAACAGTTGAAAGAGAGGGAATATATTCAGCATTCTCTTAATACATTACACTATTAATTACATTATCTGTTCAGGTTGTTTCATAAAATGAGACACACCTTAGAAGAAGTTATCATTTAATCCTGTGTGCTTGTTTGTCATTTAGGACCGCCACAGAAGCGATGGTCATGAATCCTCCGGAGCCCGCCAAAGAGAAGGAGAAACAGGGCTTCTTCAGAGCCATTAAAAAGAAAAAGAAGAAGACACAAATAGTAAGATCATTTGAGTCATTTCATCCAGCATACAAATATTTCCTTTGGTTTAATGTGTCATCTCCCTTGTCTTTAGTGTGTATCTTAGTGTGTGGTAAATGCTGATCAATGGACCTTTCATATGAAATTGAGCAGTATTTTGTGGTAACACTGTAAAAACTAACAACATGAACCTACTGTGTGAATTTTAACAACCAAGAGTGTAAAAGTTCATTGTTCCTGCCATTATTTCTGTCACAAATTAGAACACTGGACTGAAATCTGAGAACACGGCGAAATCGCTACAATAAAGTGCAACGGGCAAAGAATCACAAGCAGTCAGACGATCGGGCAGATTGTTAAAACAAAAAAAACAAAAAAAAAAGAAAAGAAAAAAGGTAGGTCTGGTCAGACTTACCTGGAAGGTAAAATGAAAGTAACTGTTAAAATTATTCCCCAAACTGTCCGATGTAAATATTTATCTCAGCCTACATTCCAGCTTCAAACCTCAGTGTTGACCTACTGTACTGAACAAAGTTGTGCACCTACGCAAGCCAAGTTTTCATCCAAATATTTGGAGTTCTGCAGAAGATTAGAGTGCAATGAGATGATGTAACTAAAGAACGCCGCTCAAACATCAAACAATAGAAAACATGTTATCTATAAATTCGAGGAAGGATACAGTCTTTTCATTGGGCTATACAGATGCCACCATTTTTCTTCTCTCTAATGGAGCGGAAGTTTGTGTGACCTTAACTTAAGTCCAGGTCAGACCTAAGATTCGATCAGTTAAAACAGGCAACTACTTGCAACTTTCTTAAAACCTGCCAGTTCACACCAATGCAACTAGATGAGACGGTGTATCATTTCTATGCAGCAGCTCACTGTGCCTCCGTTCTGATTTCCAGCTTTTCAGACTTATTTTATAGTTGAATATAATATGAATATATATGAATATAAGCACGTACAGCGAGCAGCAGCAACCCACCATCTGACACCGGCACACTGTGAGGACAGAAACAGGAGGATGGAGCACCTGCCACAGCAAGCGAACACAGCATCTGCGGTCATTTTCACTTGACCACCGGCCTTTACTACAAGCTGATTGGCTGTTGAAACAGGTGACGGCAATTTAACCAGTTGAGTTGCAGGTGACACTATCAGCCGGCATGACTCGAGCTCAGACCAGCCAGTTTGCAACTTGTAAAAACTTCACTGTAATATTTCGCCCTTTTTCCCCCAGCTTTTCCATCAATTGTTAAGGTGCAAACTGAAAGGTTCAATCCCAATACAGCCCTTGCCCCTCCATTTTGCGTGTTCATACCAAGGAGTGGAATGTCCCAATCCTTGAGGTTTTTCAGAGGCATACTGAAAACCAAGTGTTATGAGAAATCATTGGCAAAATGGCTGCACAAGCAACAAAAAATAATCCTACAAGTGCACTGTCTAGTTTAATGAAGATTTAAACATTACTATAACCATCATAGTATCATAGTTTAACGCTTTTTCAGTGTCTTGTTTGCCTTTATAATAAGCATAACAAAAGAAATTGCTGGTATGCCGATGTCTCGATAGCTTACCAGCTAGCTAGCTAATGTGCTGATTTAGGCATGACGGCGCCGCATTTGGCAATTGACGCCTGGCAATGATGCTGTGTTCTTTTTAATTTGATGACTTGTTAGATCAATTGATAGCATAAAACTGAAGTGATAATTCCATAATTTCCAAAGTCTCATCTGTTTAGATAAATACCAGCTACAACACCTGATGACATATCGGTGTCTTAAAGCATTGTGCCATTTCATAAGGCAAGATTCCAACTTGTAAATGTTCTGAGGGTCAGAGGTGCACTCAAAAATGAGGGGGCTAAAATGTTCATTTGTTCACAAGCTGTTTAATGATCTTACCACTCATTATTTTGCCTCATCATACTTCATTATAGTGATGTTGCCATGTCAATAATTTAGATAGTAAAGTGTTATTATAACTGACAGAAATGATGGCCAGAAACGAATCATATTACATCAGAATTATTCTTAAATGCTGGTCTGAATTTCCACCTTCCTTGTTTTCCTCTCTGTTTATGTTGACAATGAAATATTCATGCAATTATTGATTCTTCTCTCTTTATCTTTTGTGAAGTGGTATTTTGTTAGAAGGCTGAGGATCAGGTGCTGCAGTTGTTTTTCTGTGTGCTGTCAGAGATGTGTGTTGAGAGTTGTGGATGTGCGTCTTCTGCTCCACAGACGGACATGGAGGACGGGAGGAACCCCAGCATCAAGAAAAGCCTTTTCCCCCTCTTTAGCTCTAAGAATAGCTTAAAGCACAACTCAGCAGTCAAAGTTCTACCTGTAGTCGCCTCACCCATGGTACAACACCAGTCTACCGCGCCCTACCCTGCCTCACCAGTAATCTAACCTCAACACTACGGCTGCATGTTAACTCACACTGCACTCACCAAAACGACCTGGTTTGAAATCCTCTCATCGCCTTGTGTTTGATTGACTTAAAAATATTTCAAATTGAAAGGATTTCAAATATGTTTTGAGTCTAATACTGCACGATGTCTGGGCATCCATCATGTCTTTGCTACGATGTGTGTCAAATGCAGTCACCTTGTATTTACATCGACGTGTGTGCTGTTTGTGAGACCAACACTTCTGCACGTCGAAAATCATACTTCAAAAACATCATTGTATCATATGATGGTCATGAACATTATCAACATATTTATAAGCACATTAACCCACACATGGATCCAAACTCATACTGTACGTATCATGGACTCCGGACTCTTATTTGCTTTTTTGCCAAGAGTTAAATAAGAAGGTCGATGTACCACTCTCATGTCTGTCCATTCAAAGAAGTATTTAACTGCTGGAAAGATGGTCTTTTAATAAAACTAGGATATCCATGCAGTAGAAAGATGCAAAAACAGAGAAAACAGAACAAAATGACACTTTGGCTCAAGAAGGAGAAAACCTACAACTACCAGAATGCAACACGTCATACCAGACCAATAAACGCTCCCACTGGTGGGTGACATGCAAACACATCCGTTTGAAGCAATGAAGGCCGGCTTGAAAGAAACAATCTTGATCTCCTACATTTAAACAGTGAGCTTAAACCTGTTTCTGAAAAAATTTGAGGTGATAAAAAAGCAACTCACTAACAGAATCTTGGTTTATACAGCGCCGTCTAGTTTTATTGTTTGATCTCAGTTTTTCTGGCCTCTGTTTTCACTGTGCAGGAAACAGGATGGCACCCACTTCCTGTTCACAAAATCTCGCTATTACAGCTAAACACAGCACTAAAATATATTTCTAAAAACATTTTAGGCGAGAAATAGTCAATATGGCAACATAGTCTTGATATATTCAGTCAGCACTGCCTAAGTTTACCGTTTGATCGGATTTCAGTCTGAGTTTGAGAGACTGCCTCTTGATCTACTTCTATACTCTGTGTCCACGTTAGTGGCATGGGTGGCGAGCAATACGAAAATTCGGAAGTACAGCCTGTAGTTCGAACAACAGCCTGAGAGCCAGCAAAACTCAATTGGATGACTTAAATTACATTGTCCGGTGGAGTTTTGCTTGGGGTTGATACTTCCCACATTGTTTTGATACAAAGCTGGTTGAAAATCAGCAGAGTACCCCTTGTAAATATGAAGCTGCAGCCAGCGGAAGGTTAGCTTAGCTTAGCACAATGACTGGAAACAGTGGGAAACAGCTAGCCTAGCTCTGTGGCAAGGTAACAGAATCGATGGACCAGCACTTCTAACACGGTATCCTAAGAGCAAGTGTCGGTCCAAGTGTCGCGCTGCATCGGGTAACATTGGATGCTCGTCATCCACACAGAATCCATTAAATATGGAACTCTGTTACCGCATGTGAACACACCACACAGCTATCAGCTGTGCGCTTAGAGATGTCAGACTTGAGATGTAACCACTGAAAAGATGGGCAATTACTTAAGTCCTTATTATTCACAACAATGCTATTACAGATATAGATATAGATATAATTGTTCTCTACCACACTGTATCATACCACCATCTCCACAAACCATACAGGTTGTGAGCTCAGCTGAACAATCCATAAGACAATACTTACCAGAAACATTCAGCTTTCTGTCAATCTCCATCCAGCCAGCTCCCACCTCATTTAGATTTTTTATATTGAAATGAGAAGGATCCTGCTGATAATTCCTCATTTTAATCCGACAAATCAGCCACTCCTCATCTACTGTGGCACTTTCAGCACGAGTAACATGAATAAGATAGAAATGCAGTGTCCGAATTAAGCTTAGCTCAATCAATTGCAGCCAGTTAGGACATCCCAATAGAAAACAATGTGAACAGTATAAACTGATTTAGTCACCGAGGCTTGCACTGCATCCACTTAGGGCACGATGTAAAGCACTTCTTCTTAACTTACTAATTAATGATTGAAAATCAAAAAAGTCAATTATCAAGTAAAAATGCCAAATACTGTATATTATACTGTATGAGAATTTGCTGTTGTTATTTGTTTTATATTATTGTAAATTTAATATTTTTTGGTTTTTAGCTGGTGATCAGAAAAAAACAAGAAATGTGAAGTCCCCAACTTTACCTATACAATTATGATGGGCATTTTTCACTATTCTCTGATGTTTTACAGATTAAACCAGTTGGCGATTTAAGGCAGGACACCATCCCTTCCCCCGGGGCAAGATGCAAACGCTGTCCTATTTGGACTTAGACCCATAATTGAGAAATTATTGAGAATAATTATATTTTGTGCAATGTTTCTTTTTAACCAGCACAGCATTAGTAGCACACAGAAAAGTATCATCTCACATGATGCTACTCAGCCAATCAAATCTGTGCATTCTGATAAGCACTGTGGCTCCGGTGAGTGAGATACACGAGACAGGAGACAACAGTTGGAGAAATAAGGGAGTCAGAGTAAAGTAACTTCAGTAATTTCCCTCCTCTCTGTTAAAAAATAACAAATCGCCTGCTGGATTTAACGATTAATCTAATAAATCAAGGGGGAAAAAAACAAACAAAAAAGCCAATTGATTAATTAAGATTAATTGATAATAAAAACTAAAAAAACTAAAATAATAATATTTTAGTTTGTGCAATCACGCTCACTTTTCGGAGAGCTTGTGCATTTTTTTTTTTTCTGTATCCAGTCATCACTAATCACCATCACCACCTCTCTGTGTTTCGTCTGCTGCTGCCAGAGGCATGCATGAAGAACCTCACCGGGATTTGAGATGTGACTTGAGTGAGATGTGTTGTGTGATGCTGATGAGTGTGGTAACCTCGCCATAAGGAGAATAACATTCACATGAAGTCAGTATTTCTGTATGACTACTAATAACACTGCCGTGTTTTTGTTTCTGAAACATCAGGTTCCTGGTAACGGACAAGAGCACCTGTCCCTGCAGAGGAGCTCCAAGTCGTCCTCTCACCACAGCAGCAGACGGAAAAATCGCGAGCGATCCCGAGACCGTGACCGGGAGCAGAGCCGGGACCGAGACCGAGACAGGGAGAGAGAGAGGGAACGGGAGAGAGAAAGAGAGAGAGAAAGGGAGAGAGAGAGGGAAAGAGGGAGGGAGAGAGACAGAGTGAACGACTGGCCACCAGACAAACCAGTGGACTCACACTCACAGGTACATAGCCTTTTTAAACTGGAGACTCTTATTTGTGTTTGTTTAAAAATCACCACAAAAATGACCTTATCAGAAAACCAGTATCAGTCATGATATAGATTATAAATCATGTTATTTACGTCACATAAAAGTTATTTGAAGGTGAGGACAGGAAGTGATTCTGCATCTAACACCAACAAATTCTGAGTATATAATATCTCACATTGCAGCTTCCAAGTAAGTTCAAAAATAGCCACTCACAGACGCCATAATGGGAGATATAATAAACTTGCTGCCTTTGGTTTAATTTTACTCACGACCAAAGCACCCTGTAGTGCTTTGGTTGATTTAAGAGTTGACTGAGTTGCAGTTGATGCTATGAAATGTTTGTCTTGACTGTCGCCTTAAAAAAAAAAAAAAAGAAATTCCCAAACAAACATTCCTCAAATAAACAGGCCTTTACAAAAACAAAGTTCAAATCAATGTTGTATTAAATGACTTTATCAAATATTTAAACTAAGATTAACCAAATACGCATCATACGCATCTGTGAAGGCTGCAACCCCATAGCGTCTCTCACTCTCCACTTCACTTAAGCGCACCTGCTTTTAATTAAAGGTACCTGAGAAGCCAGGTCATTTGGTACACTATTGTTTCGTAATTTATTTAAAAAAAAAAAATTATAATATGTCTGAATGTCAATCTGACATATTTCTTATATTTATTTATTTTAGAATTTATTTATTTAGTTAGGTTTTTTTTTTTTCAAAATTATAATATGTCCAAAAATACACATTTATTGAATCCAACTTATTTATAATATTTATTTATTTTCAAAAATTACAATGTGTTTGAAAATACACATTAATGTAAATCCAATATATTTTCGATATTTATGGTGTCTTGTAAGCCAGTGGTGCCCACAGAAGTTTTTTAGAGGGGTGGCCAGATGGGGCCCCTGAAAATCTTCAACACTAACTGCTGAAGCAAATAGGCTGGCTTATAATATGAGAGTGAAGGAATCACACACTGATATACTTTGTTTTCCATTTTTTTAGTTTATATTATTAATTATCTGATGTGCATTGATTAATACCAATAGGGTAAACATTTTAGTTGCACAATAATCCTGTTTTGGTGGGGTGGCAGTAGCTCAGTCCATAGGGACTTGGGTTGGGAACCGGAGGGTTGCCTGTTCGAGTCCCCGTCCAGACCAAAATATGGAGCGTGGACTAGTGGCTGGAGAGGTGCCAGTTCACCTCCTGGGCACTGCCGAGGTGCCCTTCAGCAAGGCACTGAACCCCCCAACCGCTCGGGGCGCCTCACCAAGGGCAGCCCCCTCACTCTGACATCTCTCCACTAGTGCATGTGTGTGTCTTTCAGACCTGTGTGTAATTGACAAGCAAGAGTGAAAACATTGAATTTCCCCTCAGGGAGATTAATAAAGTAAATAAACTAAACTAAACTTTTAATGTGTTATGTATCTGTAAATTCATGTCAGGCATTGGTGCTCAGATAGCCTCGTCATCCTTCTCTGTTAAGATCATTTACTGACCGAATCTCTTTCTCTCCGTACAGAGTCAGCCACTCAAGTCACTCCGCAGGCTCCTCCACCTCTCCCCTTCTTCCTCAAACCAAGGACAACCTCCTCCTCCTCCTCCCCCAGACCTTCGCTTCCAAGCCCCCCTCCCCAACCCTCCTCAACCCTCCTCCAAAGCGGGCTACCCCGAGGGTCGAGGGCACGCTGAGAGCAGGGGGCACTCCGGGGTGAGCAGCTCCGCCCAGGCTAAGAGCCGCAAGGCCAGCTACCCCCTCCCCGGACAGATCGAGTCCAGTTGGCACGTCTCTGCTTTACAGCGGGCGGAGGGCGCTCAGTTCACCCCCGAACAACTGGGCATCAAACCGGGGCAGAACGGACCCACCTTTACCCGAGCCTCCCGCACCAGAATGCCAAACCTCAACGACCTGAAGGAGACCGCGCTGTAACCCCTTACCCGAACCAAACCACCTCCAGTATGTCTTCATCCTGGAAGCATCTGCCAGACGCAGACATCATGGTACTGTAGTAAAAGTTTACATGAAAGCCTATTTCACTGGATCGAGTCCTCATACAGAAGCGTAGTTATTTGTTGATGCTAATGTCTCTGAAATCTACAAAGACTAGACGTCGAAAGGCCACACACAAACACCAGTAACAGTGTTGTTTAGGGAATCAAAGACAGGAAAGGGCCCACTCCCTCTCGGAAGCCAGTACTGTATCAGTTGTATGTTATTCTTTCTCTATGTAACAAGGTTAGAACATCAGAGTAAACCTGATCCTTCCTGTCAAGGAGACACTGCCCACGTGGCCTCTTTGCTGCCATCTTCTGCTCACAGGACACTACAGCAAAGCAACACATCAGACAGCCGCCGTCACACCGGTGGCCAATAAACTCAAATGTTTTTCAAGCTCTGATATTTGATAAGAACATAAAAAAAAGATTTATATCAACATTATTTATTAAATATTTATTTGTTTTAAATTCAAGGATATAAGCTATAAATGACACAGTATGTAGGTTATATGGGAATATTATAAGGTAATATAGAATTAAATGTGTAATTGCAAGAGCTTTAGTTTCGACACAAAGAAATGCATAGATATTTATGTGTTGATAATACAATATGTCAAAAGGAATATTTAATAATGGTGAATGTCCTTTTTTTTTGTTCAATTTGATATGTTATTAATAGATTTTCATGTTATATCATATTATTTTCACCTTTTTTCTGTTGGTTTCATCAAAATGTAAAGAAATATTGATGAATACTTGTTGCCCAAAGTGGAAAAAAAAAATCTCAGACATTACATCTAGTGCAAACCTGCCCGTCACCCTTATGACAGTTCTGAAGTTTCGGGCTATTTGTCAACAGGCTTTGGTAGCAGAACAGCCAGAGTGAGACTGTTAGGCTTCGTGCTTTACATACAGCTACTGTCAGTTCACTCTCGGTGTCACCATTTTCAAATAAGCCCCATTTTCAGTCTCTCAGTTCATCAGCGACAACAGCTTTCCAGCTCTGTGCTGCCATGTTGGTTTTGTCTACAGCCTTAACAGCAAGTAAAGGACATCAAGACTTTGGTGGCCATTGATGGTGAAAAGCTAACCTCTTGAAATGAGGTCTTACTGACTCAAATACAACATCTAAGTGTGCAAGATAGTAGAGAGCACTCTGCAAAAAGGCATACCTCACCTACAACCTTTAAGATCTGAAAGGTTAAGTCTGGTGTATTTTATATTTATTTAACAACAAATCTCATGAAAAGACCAACAGTGAATTGGATCCTACTAACAAGTGCTTTCTCCATATCCAAAACCTGATATAGCTTATTCCTCTGTGCCGTCAGTTTGTCCACAAACTATTAAAAACATTAGTGAGACACACTGTTGCACTAGGTGACATGTTCCCTCATTAACATGAACATGGGCACTGTGATCCCCCATACACCGCCCTGTTGCTGTACTCCTAACAAGAAAATAGGTCGATTTCCACTGATTTCTAAAACAAGATATATGACCACATCCATAACGATATATATTACCTTTCTAACACCGCTATTACGCTATCAAACTTTGTGGTTAGGATTAGGCGACAAAATTAGGTGGTTAGGAAAAATAGTGGTTTAGCTTTAAAAAAGGTAATTTTGTCACTAACGCAATGTCACGTGTCACATCTCATACATCTATAGCGTAGTATGCTACACATACTAGCTAGCTGTTAATAAAGTAAGGCAAAGTTGACTTCAGGGCACAAACACTGGTCTCCTGGGTGAAAGTCCTGTGCTTGTTTGACCATCCCATCCCATAGGGACATCTTCCATCATTATACAACATTGCTGCCTACATAAGGAACTCAAGAGCTCATGGTTACGACATGGAAAGTTTTGTGCAAGATATGCTTCGCGTTCAAGCGATTAAGTTTTGAGAATGCCATTGCTAGGCAACGATAACATGGATGCTACTGTCTGTCGTCTCCTTCTCCATGTAAGTCGATGGGAAAAAAGTATTTTTGGGCCATAAGGCATCAAGTGACAGTGTAATAATTGTTTGGTCACTATAAAAATTGGCTTCAAAGCCTGCCGCACTTCCTGACGGCCATGAAGACCAACACACTTCATCCTCCTGTAAATGCACACTGGAGCACCAAATATGTATCTACTAATGGTTAGACAGGCTGAACAAGTCAGAAAATATTAAAAAATGGAAACCCCTGTTTTGTTTTTTGGCATCTAATAAGTCTAAACACATTAATCTTTTACTCCAGTGGAATTCCTGCATTGTGTTCCAGTTACCAAACACAGCACACCTCCACCAGTGCAGCCCTTTTCGTTTCTTTGGGCCCGCTAAAAGTTATTTTCTTCATGGGATTTGTTGATGATAAGAAAAATATAAAATAACACCAGACCTTTCCTTTCATGTGTGTTTACATTTTTCTGTGTGCATTTTAAAAGCTTGCGTTATCAAAGTTTTTGTAAATGCCTTTTGTAAATCTGAATTTGGTTTTCCTACTGTATTCACATTACAGCTTTTAATTTTGATATTAATACTCATGATCAGGGATGATTTTACTGAACTGGGTTATTCATAAAGCATTTATTTGTTGTCTACTGACCTGTGGATGATAAAAACATATATATATATATATATATAGAACAAAACACTATTAGTGGCCTAGGCAAAATATACAGCGTAGTTTTCCTCCCAGTCTTCCCTTTATCCTTCGTTCCTTCCTCTTTCTCTGTGGTTTTAAATGGATAGTTCGGATCTTTTGGAATGCGGTTGTGTGAGGTACTTATCCATAGTCAGTGTATTACCTACAGCCGATATCAGTTCACATGCTACCAGTTTGGAGAAGCAGGCTGTAGTCCGGCATGGAAGCTAAGCTATCTACTGCTGTATTTTAACCACCTTAAAAAAATCAATATCAGTTTAAGTGTACGCTATATTTAGAGTGCTTTCACTGCTTAACCTTGCATTGGACAGCGATTTCTTACGGAGAACTGAAGCCGTTATTTCACTTTCTTTAACGCCAGACTTCACTGAGAAAATAGGGTGATTTAACATAGTTGAAAACAGGAGCTGCTGGTCTACCGCTGCCTCAATCAGTTAGTTTGTTTGTGTTATTGTGTGACTTTGGTGTTTGAAAGGGTTAGTTGGGATTCACCAAAGTTACACATAAACACAAATTTACTGAATAATCAAGGCAGAGGTAGACCAGCAGCTCCTGTGTTCAGCAAGCTAAAATTACTGTTTTTGTCAGTGCAGTCTGGTGGCTTTGATGAGAGCATAGATGGGGAACTTAAACTGTTTAAAATAGGGTTTATTATCATTTTCAAGGGGGTCCAGCACAAAACAACTTCATTACATTGGATACAATCACAACATATAACATACATACATGACTGACTTACCGACCCATAAGCCCACATTATCCGCACATAACAAAAGGGATAGATTGCAGTTTAATTTGTTGATTACTGACTCCATCTGTTGTTTAAAAGAGAGCGCTGGATCAATTCAGAGGCCAAGGTATTTGAAAGAGGTCACCTGTTCAAGGGATGATCCATCATTAAAAGAGATAGTCAATTCTGAGAAGCCACCAAGCTGTTAAGGAACAGGCTGTCTGATGGAAAGGTACAGTGGTGAAAACACTCTTAATATAGCATACAATGAAACTGTTACAGATGTTTCTTGAGGGGACGTTTTTAGGTGGATAAAATACGTTTTGCAGTTGCCCCTGTCCACAGCACTACATTGTTTAGTTTACGCATCATTACGCCAACCTGCTTCTCTAAACTGAGGGCATGCTGACTGCCATCTACTGTAGGTAATACACTGACTCTAGATAAGTACCTCATACAACCCCACTTCAAACACTCTGAACTATCCCTTTAACGTTGAAAGTGAAGATGAAAAGCTTTTATATCACAGGAGGAGGGAACCAAGGAAATAAGGACGGATGCATTTGTGCAAAATTCAAGACATCTGTGGACTAAAGAGAAAATTTTGGAGGATTCATGTTTTGTTTCTCGTCTGTCGAAGAGATTAAAATACACATGCAAAAAAAGAAAAAAAAAGCGAACGATCCAATTGACTACACGGCTGATTGAAAGCAATAACATTCAGAGGGAGACTAATGCCGACTGTACTAGCCAAATCAGTGGCTAGTTGAATTGGAGCCAAATATAGCACAGAGAAGGATTTCCATTAGGAGACTGTGATTAAAGCAAGAGAACTGTCCACATATAATATCAAGACATCGCTCTGCAATACATTTTTTATTTCAAATTTGTCCTTGAACATGACCCAGGGCGGGTAAAACTGCCTCATGTTGTGTACTACTGAATAATTCTGATTGCTAATGATTGTAAATGACTGCTGATGTGGGTTTGTCTATATCGTTAATGGGACAGAGTGATGACAAAGCTTGCCTTGCCAGTGACCCGAAGCCTTATATTAGCTTACTGACTCAACACTTCAGATGGAAATGGAGGCTTCAACCCCCAGCAAGTCACATAACAACTGAGATGAGACGAAGAATTTTTGTTCACAAATATGAATGTGTTTACTAAAACATCTTTTTTTTTTTCATTAAGCTGTTTCCCACTTCTTACAGGGTGTAAATAGAAATAATAGAGTGTATCTATACTGACCATTCTACTTTAAAAATGATAGGGTCTCATAATAAAAGCCAACTGTACATTTTTGAACGGCTCACGTTTGTTTTTGTAACAATGACGGACACAGCATGAGGACAGACGTGATACAAGTATCAGTTTAATCAAGGAAATAGTTTAAAGATACAATAAGGAACACGTCTTCAGAGTAACTCTGAAACGTGTCCCCAAAGCACCATGGGAAATTGAAATGTTACAGAGAGAAATCAGGAGTTAAGCACAATACAAAACCACATCTGAACATTGGTGAATAATCCATCCCTCGATCTTTATACAGCACTGAAGAGTGATATCTGTAAAAATGTACCTGAGGTAAGACAAAAACGAGAAAACTGAAGTTAAATCACAAACGTGTATTTAAAGAAAAAGTCTGGCATTTTCCCACATTTTTCTTATTATCAGCAAATACCACCAAAATCAGCAATCTGTTGGCCCTTTTCTCAGTATTTGGTAGCTTATTTGTGCATACTGAAGATGATCACTTTTTGTTTTATTTTGTTTAATTTAATTTATTTTAATTTAATTTAATTTTGGTTGTGTTATTTTATTTTATACATTTTGTTTTAATTTTTAAAACAGGTTACAATAATACAATTTTATATTTTAAAAAGTGCAGTAACAGTTTATTTGGATAGTCCACCTACACATAATTTATTGAGTATTTTGTAATATTTCCACAATTTTACTGTTTTGCGCTGTCTGTAGATATTTATCTAAAGAGTATATGTGACAATTCACTACAAATTTTTAAACTTAAATTGTTCACATATACTCGATAGATAATTTTTTAAACATCTACAAAATAAAGCAAAGCAGTTGAATTGTTGAATCTCAGCTAATATGCTATTGAAATGTTACAAATACTCGACAAACTCTCTGTAGGCAAAGTATCCAAATAAAATGTTATCTAAAAGAGACAAAGTAATTTCCCAAAACAGCTGGGCACTGTAGTTTTAAGCAAACATTACTCAAACAGGAGTAAACAGTGCATTTGTTGGGGACTATTTTCGGCTGCGGATGAATACACATTTGATACATATTGAACCACTGAGTGTTTAGAGCAGCAGGACAACATAAAGTGCACATGTTCTTTGTATTAAAGTAACATGTAGCATTTCTGTAACAGTTGGCTCACTGATGTGCTTTCCAATAGTTTGGGGGAAAAGTAAAAATAAATACTAAAATAAAGTAATATCATAACTCAGACTTTGGCTGCACTCGGTGGTGGGGTTATTGAAAGGTCCAGTGTGTAGGATTTAGGGGCATTTATTGGTAGAAATGGTATATAATATTCATAACTATGTTCTTATTAGTTTATAATCACCTGAAATCAACTGTCTGCCATTTTGCTCTACAGTAGCCCAGAATGGACAAATGAAACACTGGCTTCAGAGAGGGCAATTCACTTTTTTGGGTTTTTTGGGGTTTTTTTTGCATTTTCATGACAGCCATGTAGTTCTCCTACACACTTGGCACACGGGAAAAGTTTCAGTTCTGCAAACCCACCGCCAGAAGCCATTAAATCCCACACACTGGACCTTTAATTGTTGGTTTTGGTCTTTTCGTGGGATTTGACATGTAGATTATCACCAGCCTTATCCTAAAATAAAGAGACTGACTGAGAGGTCTCTGCTCACTGTAAAATATCAGGAGAAGCAGGCAGCATTTCAGAGGAGAACACAAATGTTTTGAATCAGCGTTGGATACAACCTCCTTAGCAACGCTGCGTCTCCCTCTCCATGTCTAATTATTGCATTGAATTTATGCCATTTCATTGCAAATGGAACAATCCATTGAGAACGCAGCAAACTAAAGCCCGCAGTGTGAGACCGCTTCAATACAGACAATGGAGAGTGGAGTGAATGAAAGCTCGTTGAGCATATCAAACAAACATTTTAATCAAATCACATAAGTCAAACTGTTTTGTTTGTATTCTGGTAACAGAATGTTTTTGAGTTCACCCTGTGGTTTTATACGTGTAGCTGGAGGGAACCACCTCTGTGGATATAGTAACAGACCACACACTCTGACGATAGGGGGGATTTAGGTGTAGATAAAGTTTTAGGAGAAGGCCTTGGGGACAGTGGGGGAGAAGAAGGTTCAGATGCATTTGCTCATGCAGAGCAGCAGCTCCAGGCGCAGAGCGATGCGTGTGTGCCATCCGAGGGGGAGGATGCGGATGTAGCGTGCAACGATGGGGGGCCGTAGGAGGTTCTGCACAGACGAGGAGCGGTCAGAGTTTCCATAAAACACCTGAGGGAGGGAGAGGAGCAAAAGGTCAGGATGGGTTCATTTAGATTTACAATAATACTGACTGAAACTGTTTTGTAATTAAAGTTACTATGGTTACTGCTAATAATATCAATAATTATAGCATATGGCTGCAGCAAACAGTTATTTTCAAGACTTAAAAGTTTGTTGGATTATGGAAATTGTTGGTGGCTAATTTCTTGTAAATCGACTCATTAAACTGCACAAGAGAGTAGAGATGAGATGATACAATATTTCCTCAAGCTTCACATTTTGTTTGTGTCACATATATTCCACAGTTCAACTGACCCTGTTGTTTCCAGTCTGGTCTTTGTAATAGATCCAGTTGAGTTTTTCGTCTGTGCGGTACTGAACGCTGTACTTGGTGATCCACTCCTCAGCGTCACAGCGGCCCTGGGTGAGGATCCCTGACACCACCATCACCTCCCTCAGGTCGATCTGCAACCACTGACTGCTGTCCTGGAACTTAGACAGCCAGGCACACCTGCAGGAGAAACACAAACACCGGATGTGATGCAGCAGTTAAACATGGACACATGGTCCAGTTTGACCTGCTGATGTTTTCTCAGAGCAGATAGAGATGCATCATTACAGCTGGTTACAGACCTTTTACAGGTGTTATCAATAACATTAACAATGGCTCTGTTCTTTTCAACTGTACCAGTGAGCCATGACAATGTGACAGAGAGCTGGCATGTACAATATCAGGGCTAAGGGACTAAATGAAATTCGATAATCGTTAGTTTTATCATATACTCCTGTGCTTTTCTTACGGTCATATGTCAAAATGTCTTCTGTGAAAAAGACCCGTTGCTTTGTTTATGATACCGAAACTGAACTTTTCAGAAAATATCTGATCAAAGAATTCCTAAATTGTTGATCAGTGTAAAGAGTTTGACTTCTTGGGTATAAAATTATACGCATCTTTTGCATCGTTGAGCCCACAGAACAAGAGCCCTAGAGACTTCCACCAGCCGAGTGGATAACTTCCAGCGTAGAGTAGACCTCCGCTAACTTGAATAAATCGATAATCGATAAAATATTTAATTTTGTGGCTCTTCTAGACTTTCAAAACGTTATTGAACCTAATTGATCAAATCCAGATAGTCAGGGGCGTGGTCATAGCCCATTCTGGCTGTCATATGAAGGCAAAATCTGGCCAGAATCAGGCCAACTCTGTTATATAAATTTTGGGTATTTTTTAAGACTGAAGGCTACATTTTAGTCAGTGCTCAAAAAGCATTGTTCCAACAAATACCATTTT